TTTGTTGATATAGCCGCAGATTTTCGAAAGGAATACTGGACTAATGTTGTTCGCATATGGGTTTGTCAGGAATTGATGTGATGTTTGAAACTTCGTTTTGTGAACTTTGATGTTGTTTGTAAGAGACTGAGACTCCAGAGGAGAAACTAAATTTCTGCTTTCATAGTTTCGTTGTAGTGGATTCTCGTTGGGCTTTTAAGGGGCCGATTACCGCTGTAACTTTTTGTAAGACGTGCCACGTCACTCCATATAGAGCCATAATAATAAGAGACTTGATATAATTTGTCCAGCTTTGTTGTGCCTGTAAGTTAGAACGTGACCTGCTTTGTTGTGCCTGTAAGTTAGAACGTGACCTGACTGCACAGTGAAGTCTACTGAGAGTACTTTTGTCCTGAGGTAACCTTGTACGTTGCCATTTATGGCTTCGACTTTCCTTTGCTGGACAAGTTTTATGGGATCTGAAGACCGTGGAGTTTCTTGCTTTGGAACCGTAGTGGAAGAATTTTCATACGCTATGATTCTAATCAAGAATTCTTCTCTAGGCCTTCATTCGCATACATCTTTACACAAGCTTATCCTCAAACCCTTTCAAGAACATTCTCTCTAGATCATTCTGAAATTCATATTTACTAACGAATTTTATGCAAGACCAACATTTTATCCAAAATTACTCAAGAAATTTAATTTATATGAAATTTTTTTAAAAAAATTCAAGAATTACAAGAAAACTGTATTTAATTCATCTTCAAATCAAACTTATATCCTAGACTTTGCTATAAACATTTAACAAAGACTTCTACTTATAGCCTCAATATTTTAATACGTTTGCACCCTCTATAATATTACTTATATTGTACACCGTATTCAGCTTAAATATTACCAATCATCGAACTGTACTATATTATAATTTGAATATTAATAATATTATCTATAAGCATTTTTCACTGACAATATCATCTTACTCTATTATGATGTTCCTCTTCTGCATAACTACTATTACATTATTTTACTTTCTTCTATAATACACTTCCTATTTCCTTAACTCTACATTCCCTCCTAATCCTTTTCACTTACTTATACTCTCTTAATGTATTCTTCTCATTACTCTTAAATATTACTTATATTATTTTAATATAATTTATTCCTATTACATTTCTTTTATTTTCTGTATAACTAATGTAGATTACTTGTTTTTCTGTAATTATCAAAATTTTGTAACTGGGCTGATTTTCTTATGTGTTTATTTCTTATGTAATTATGATTTTCTTATGTACTTATCAAAATTTTAAAACTGTTCTGATTTATATATGTATCAAAATTCTATATTTTAATTACTTTTTGTTTCTTCTGTAAATATTTAAATTTTATAACCGTACTAATTTTCTTATGTAGTATTTCTTTCTTATGTCTTTATAATTTTCTTATGTATTTATCAAAATTCTAAAACTGTTCTTATTTTTTTATATAACAAAATTCCTAAATGTATTTAGGTACTTATCAAAATTCTACATTTTTATTTTGAATGTTCACATATTTCATATACTTCAAATTGTAACATCGTTTTACATTATTTTATATATGACAAATAGTATTCTTTCATAGTATCTTCTTATGTGACACACAACTTACATTACCTGCATAATTATTGTATGCATCAATTTATAAAATTTCTGTAACCTTAAAATTGTTTAAATAAACGCCACTGATCACCAGGCCATTCCCGAGGCTTGGCGTAGCGGATTGTAGATGATTCTCTTAGTTGACCATAACAGCTGAATAGTCCTCAGGGCTGTGCAGCTGCTCTTCTGATAGTAAATACTAAATACGCTATTATGATGTTATCTCTCGAATGTAACGTCGGAAGTGTGCACTGAATGTTGTTTAGAGCTTTGATAAAAGTTTGCCAGTCTGTGATAAAGACTGTGTTGTCTGATGCAATATAACAACTGATATCCAGGTAGATTCGGACCGAATTATGGTCTGAGGATAATTCATCTAGTATGGAGATATCCAGCGGATAGCTGGTATTTCGTAGTAAGAAGAAATCAATAACTGCTCGAGCCACTGTTATATAGTGTTTGGGTGACGGAACGGCTATTCGTATTCTGAAGACTTGCGCTAAACTAAATATGATGCGTCCGACGGTGTTAGAGGTGTAGAAGTTCCACTCGCATTTAAATCTCCACCTATGATGACCCGACTGTTAAATGCAAATAAAATATCCAGATCAGAAATAACATGTTGTGGCCTTGAACTGGGAGGTAAAAAGATAAAAGTCTACGTAAATCAAGTACTTGACGTAATGTTAATAGTTGTGGCTTCAATCGGTAAAAGCTGTGGCAGAGTAATTTAATAATGAGGGATAGAACGCTTTACGAGAAGAGTGGTATCTCTGACGGTTAACAACAACTCTATCAGTTCTATAAGTATTGTAGTGGCAGATACTAATATTTTTCCCTAGGCTAATCTTGATTTCTTTCGGAAAAGCAAGTCGGTACTGTACTAATTTATAAAGTCACGAAGCTCATTAAGTTTAAATGATAAACCATTTGCATTCCATGTAACAATATATAAAGAAATTAAAAAGTTATTACATTATTCATATTTAGAGTGCTTAAATCGTCTTCATAAATAACAGTGAGTTTCCACGAAACCTGCATTAAAATGTCAAAATGCTACTTTCAAAATTTCGCTCAAACTCGTAAAGAAAAAAAGAAAAAAAGTTCTTTTCAAAATGGTGAATTGTTAAAAGAAAAAAAGAAAGAAAGAAAGCTCTTAGATTTTACATTACGCCCAAAGTGGGTGCTTTTTTCATTTACACATACATACACGTTTCGAGAGCATTTGGGCTAAAAATATTTAAAAGCAGCATGTCTTCAGAATTTCCTACAGACTCTCGCGCGCTGGAGATAGAAATATTTTATTCCGTGCAGTGTATTGCCACTTCTCACTTTTAAATAGTTGAATTTATTAAGCAACACTTTTAAATAGTTGAATTTATTAATCAAAAATTCGTTGAAGTTTGAAAAATATGAAATAGATAATAAAACAAATTCGAAAATTAAGGTTAGGGCTTCCAGATGCCCATATTCAGGAGGACGACGTTATTCAAAATTTGGTGGCCCTAGGTATCGTTGCTTTTTCATAATTCACGCAGAATTTTCATTATTTAATATCTTTAAATATAATACAGGGTGATAATATTTGGTAGCAACAATTTGAAAAGTGACACAACCGTTTATAGTGATTCGAAGCAAAATGCCATTTCGAGACTAATAGCCCATCTGGGCTAACGCCCCTTTGGGCTAAAAAATACATTTTCATTTGCTGTTATTTGAGGGATTTTATAATAAACTTAAGATCATGTTAGAAATACGAGACTAGTAGTTGTCAGATAACACCGTCACGAGAGGGATACATGCCATTTCAAAAGACGTGGAAACCCAATAAAACCGTCAAGGGGAAGAATGGGTATTTGGCGTGTTCACTGTATAGAAGATCTAATGAAAATGTTACCCATGAAAGGACAAGTGAGGGTATCTACAGCATATACAAAGTCGATAACTATGCTCAAGCTGCTGGAGATAAGCACTGCTGGATTTATCTTCGTCTGCAAGAAAGATAAATCATTTCCGACCATTCAGTGAATCATCGACTGGGAAGCTTTGTGTGGTAGAATATTGCTCTTCAGACAGGTCCTAAAAATGTTTACAAAATAGCAAACTTTACTTGAACACTTCTTTGCAACACTAAATTTCCAAGGCCTACTAGAAAGCAAAAGATCCTGGTATTCAAACAAATTAAGAAACAAATTATGTACTGAACTATACGTTGGCTGACTAAAGCCAAAGTTCTTCAAGCATTCGTAAATTTAACTGCAGAAATAAACTATGCCAGACAAAAATCAAAATTTTGCTGACTTTCGCTGGTTGGTGGATTTAGGTTTCCTCCCAGACATAACTGAGAAATTGAATTGCTTAAAACTGGAGCTGCAGGGAAAGCGAAACTTTCATAAGAGACATAAAGTTCGGAAATGATATATCTTTCTTGCAGAGGGCACGAACCACTGCTGGTGTTCCATCAGTGATTATCGCCGACAGCTCGTGCAAAGATATATCTATCGACTTTGCATATGCTATAAATATGTCGTTGGTGTTTTAGGATGAACATGATATTTATTAAATAAAGGTAACACACAAAACGTTAAAAAAACGCCCTTTTTGGGTGTAAGATTTTATATTGTTTTTTTAATATTATGTCTGAAACAAAGTTTATAATTGAGTGATTTTATTATCTATTTCATATTTTGTAAAACTTTAACGAATTTTTGATTAACAAACTCAACGATTTCAAAGCGAGAATGGCAACACTGTACACTTTTATTTCCAGCTCGCGAGACTGTCTATCGGAAATTCCAAAGATATACTGTTTTTATATATTTTGTGATGTTGCTGTTGAATTGAATTTTATATGGTTTAAGTGCGAAGAACATGATATCAAACAAATAAAGATAACACACAAAATGCTGAAAAAACGCCCCTTTGGGCGTAAACTGAAATTTAAAATCGGAAAACTTTCAGATTTTTGTACAAGCAGTTTGACAGCATTGTTTTTTGTATTTTCAGATAGTGTACACAAGAAGAAAAGTCTGAAATTTTGCATTTGACTTTTCATAGATTGTTAGAAACATATTTTGTTTATGAAACTCATGGTTTAAAATGACAATTGTTGAAAAGTCCGGAAAGAAACTTAATACTACCATAAGGTTTAGAGAACTTTTATACTATCAAATCTAAATAGGAAATTTTAATTTTAATCACGATTTCCATCAAAAATCGGTAACGACGGCTATTTATGTCGAACTTGGTTTTATCGAAATGGAAAATAATAACTGCTCTTCAAGTAGAAATATATTGAAAAAAAGGAAGTTTTAGATTTGAATGTATAAACAGAAAGCGGAAATGAATTGCTAATAAAGAATTAAAAATTTTCTTTTGCAGTCAAACCTACGACAGATCAAAATGCATCTGATAATGGCCACACTCATGAGCATGGTCATACTCATGAGCATGGTCATACTCATGAGCACATGACTTCTCCCGGAACATTTTTGTCGAGAGATTTGCCTATAATGCGAAGAGATTTTCAGAAGGTAAGATATTTTTTCTTTAACTTTTGTTAAAAAAGATTTTAAAAAATGAAAATAATATACTGCGATGTGTTGAAAAGAAACGCACACTATTTTTTCAAACACTTCGTCAGAAATCTTCTTAGATATTGAAAAACATATTTATTTTGCGGGAAGGCTGCGATAACATAATATAACTTAATCATTTAAAAAGATATTTTATTTGAATTTCTTAACATTATTCTGTAGTATTTGTTTTTCAGAATTTTTTCTATATCGTCATATAATATAATCCTGAATTTGTTACTAAAGAGGATTTCTATGGTAGAGATGGAATTGCGAGGCTGTTTTTCTCTGGATTGCGAAAGAGAGTTTTTCTTAACACAGTACCATGTTATTGCTTCATTCTACGCTTATTTCAAAAATGTGGCTGTGGTGGTGGATTATCCTGACACAAAACTTAAAAGGTTTTATGAGCCAAACGTATGATATATATATATATAGAGAGAGATTCCTTCACCTTTGGGTTTGGTTATAAAATTTCACAAGCATTAAAAATATGAAGATAATAATTCATTAATGTTATTGTAAAACATAAAAGAGCAATTAAAACCACCTAAAACAGTAAACTGACTGATATATTTTCTTCTGGTATTCGAAAGTGCATAAAATTCACGAGATGAAAATATAAAACTAGTTAAAATCTGAATACATATAGATATTTAAAATAATTTCAAATTAAATAATAAAAAACAGTTTCCCTTAAATATTCAAACAAATTAATAGTCACGTCTTTTCCAAATAAAAAGGCAAGACCATTAAATATTTAACACGAAGACTACTAAAATGTGGACGTTCAATCAAAACGTGTCGTATCGACAGCGCAGCATTATGATTGGAGCACAGCGGTTCACTCTTAGCTTTTAACAAGTTTAATTGTTCGTTACTCGAGAGTAGACGCTTCGTTCGTTGCTCGAGAGTAGAATAGCTTAGGCGAGTTAATAAGACTTCCTCTTTCGGATTTTTATTTGACTTCCAATATTCCACACGAGGTTTTGCACTTCTCAGCTTGTTATTTATTTGCGTATCCCTCAATTTCTACTGGATAAGAAATTTACCTTTGATGACCATTTTAATGTCACTCAAAGGAACAATCTGAGTAGACAATTCAACAGCGGATTTTGCTATGATATCTGCCAGCTCATTACCTCTATCACTACGTGTCCGGAAACTCAGCAGTAAAGGATCTGCTACCCCATGGCTCATTAAGTTTAGTTCTAGTCGTAAGATTTTTGTCATCATCGTATTTTGGGTCTCAAAGACACTTTGAAAAGCTTTTAGTGAAACAGAGCGAGTCATTATAAATTATTATAAACTTTCTCTGGTTAAGATAAAAATTTAATAACATGATACAGCACAGTTACTTTAGCATTAAATATGGAGCAAGCATCATGCAGTCGTCTTCCTTCCACATGACTTCCAATCGCAATGATGCTCTCACATGACAAGCCATTTGTGTACATCGGAAGTAACTGCTGTATTCATTCCTACGTTCATGAAAAAACTGCTTGTACACTAATTTGTTTGTGCTTCCTTTATTAAGATGACTGAAGACATCTAGAACCCGAATTTCTGAGTTGTCCCAGTGTGTGATAACAAGACGTCTTAATGTATGGGCCTTCACATCAGACAATGAATATTTTTGTATCAAAGGCTAAGTTCTTGCTGAGGACGGAGGAATGTAAAGAGGCCGTGCTTCAAATAACGGCTACGACAGTCACAAAAATAATGATGAAGGGACAATTGCTCACTCGTTAGCTGAAGCGATGCTTCTAAGCAACCGACATATAGACTCTGCACAGGAAATATTTTAAAGGCTCCAGAGCAAAGTGCAGATCTTGATGAAGAATCGTATCAAGTTTCAATTTAACAAAAGAACCGTGTCAATCCAAAAACTACTGAGCCATAGTCTAGTCTAAAGCGGACGAGCGCCCTATATATGCGGAGCAATGATCCACGTTCTGCACCCCAAGATGTGTTCTCCAGCACTTTGAGAAGATTTAGAGTTCTGGAACAGTTCTTCCTTAGGTATGCCATATAGAAAGAAAGTGAGCTTCCAATCGGTCAACACTTCTAGGAATTTTACTTCGCAACTAGAATTAGTGAACCTTCAGAGTAAAGCTCAAGGTCAAGATGACGATTTTGCTTTCTGCAAAAATAGATGTGAACAGTCTTTTGTTTTAAAACGCAAATCTATTTTTCTTTGACCATGCCTGGATCTTATTAAGAGCGATCTGTAATTGCCTGCCGACATACCTTATATCTGCACCTTAACAACTGATCTGGGGAGTCATCAACGTGCAATGATCCCGAACCGGTAGGAGGAAGTTCCTTTAAGACAATGCTTATTTTTAGTTGTGAATAAAGTAACACTTAAAACGCCTCTTTGGGCATACCCCCTTCTTGTTCAAAGTTATCAGAAAAACAGTCAGTTCTAACTGGATAAGCTCTAGCATTTCAAAAATTTTGAATGGAAATTGATAGGTCGCCGTGTAAGCCGCTAGCATGAAGATCACGCAGAATGCCATACTTCTATGTCTTAGCGTAAGCGTTTTCAGTGTCAAAGGAAACAGAGACAAGTTGATTTCTTTGACAAAGGCTTTACGAATGGAAGTTTCCAAAAGAAGAAGATTATCGATTATTGTTCTTTGTGGAGACCACTCTGAAATAGCAAAATCAGTTTATAAGGTATTTCTCTCTATTTTCTATTTTCTTCTTGGCATGCCTTCGTGGTGTAGTGGTCTGCATGCTGGGTGCGTATTCCAGAGGTCCGTGGTTCGATTTCTGGCGAAGGCGTTGCTCATTTTTCATCTCTCCGGCCTCCAAAAATATCCTAATGTCTCTATAGTGGCGCCCGAACTAAAAAGGTGGTGGATTAAGATTCTCTACACGCAGGATTTGGCGACTGGGTCCCCTAAAAACCCCTAGTCGCCCTTTAAAAGGGGGAGTATGTGAAGTATTTCTCTCGCCTTTTTGGCATGCCTTCGTGGTGTGGTGGTTTGCACGCTGGCCGCGTATTCCAGAGGTCGTGGTTCGATTCCCAGTCAAGGCGTTGCTCATTTTTCGTCTTTCCTGCTTTCAAAAAAATACCTAATGTCTCTACAAGTTTTTTTCCCAGGTAATAGACAAGATGGCGGTTTACCATTTTTTCCAAGCACAACTGGTAAGGGAAACCGGACGATAGTTGGAGGGATTTTTTGGGTCTTTTCCTCACTTAGTTGTTGGAATGACAGCAGCTTTCTTCCATGCATTGGTACGCTTCTTCTACACTCGCTTATAAAGAGTAAAATCGGTAATCGATGACTTACAGGACAGATGCTTCATTTCGTAACTCACGCTATCTAGACTCCTACTAGACCTATGTGTCTGTAACAAAGCTCTGTTTAACTGGAAAACGTTGTAAAATTTCAGTTATAAGACTCAGAGTTGAATGCAGTGGGAATTTTTGCAAAGTGTAGCTTGACAGAAAGAAATGCGAGTGAATAATTTCTGTTGGAAGGAACGGTAGCAAAAGTGTCCTAGTATTCGCAGTTTCTTCTATGTTGTTAATAAGTCCGATATCTTTTTCTAGAAAGAAAGGAAAGTGAGGGGTCTTTATAAAGTCCGTATGAGTTTCTAACTCATTTCTAGATTTTTTTTATTGGTGTAAGCGTTGTAATTGATGACACATATGATATTCATGAATCCTTCTGGATCTGCCGTCTTGTATTTGCTTTCGTATTTTTGAAGGCTATAATATTTAATAATGTGGGGTACCTACGAAAGGCTTCCCAAGCTTCTGTCTGTCGTCTGAGAGTTTCTTGGCAGTGAGAATTCCACAATGGCTTAGAAAATATTGGTATTTGTAATCTTGTAGATGTTATAGGTATAGAGATGGTAGCTGCCTGAATAATAATATCAGTAAAGGCTCTCGCACCTTCATCGACAGCGTATCTTTTACTATTTTTTCCGTGATCTTTGTAAGACATGAGAGTTCCTAGTCTGCCGTATCAAGTATAAATCGAGGGGATCTTGATAAGGCATTTACTCCTTCTCGAGCGAGAGGTATGAGAATGGGGAAGTCTCTGTTTTAAAGATCATTCTCTACACTAAACGTTCAAAAGGTCAAAAGTGATAGTGAACGGATAACAAGATCTAGTACATGAAAATGTCTTTGTAGGCTCGTGAAAGTAAGTATCCTGTCCATTATCGATAAGATAAAATAAATGAGCTTCGATCACTTGCCCAATTTGTCTTCCACGAGGATTTGTGTCCTTAGTTCCACAGAGTGGACTATGCGCGTTAAAGATAAAAGGGTCCGGCAGATGCTGTATTAAATCATCTAAATCTGAATGATCGACGCGTTTGTTTGGAGGCACATAGACACTACGAATTGACACCAGAAATCTTATATTTATATGAATGATAACGGCTTGAAGGCCTTTTTCTTAAAGGAAATGAACTAGTCAAGTGAGATGAGAAGACCTCCACCTCCACTCACACGCTCACCTACGAAATGATCTTTCCTGAGAATGAGAACCTTCGAAGCGTAGATACTTTCTTTGGTTTCAGAAAAGCCTCCTGCACTGTCTGACATAAAGGATGATGTTATCGATCAAGTCTTTGATGTTAATGAGATTTTGGTAGAAGTCGGGAAAATTCCATGAAACGAGGTAAGCCATTATGGATGATGTTTACTTTTCCGGTGTTGTGTTTTTGTTTTACTTGGAGCCTCGGGCTGTCCAACTTCTCTTCCACGTCTATGTCAATATCTATATTATCTGAACTGATGCTTCCAAAAGATCTTGCATTGGGATTTCTAGGAAGTTTAAGTAATTTGTTCGCTTTTTTCTTATTTTCAGTTAGGTTCTGTTTCGATTCCTTATCATATAATATTTTTAGTATTGATGGTACGGATCCGTGTGCTGTGTTCTGCTGCAAATTTAGGATAAGCTGCTTATTTTATGCCCGTATAGTTATTTGTGTGCCGACTAATTTCACAGATTTTTAGTGCATTAACGTAGGATAAATTTTGGCATGGCTGTGAATCTGCTATTAATTTTATTGCCTCCGCATAAGAAATATTCTTTGTGACTAGTATCATTTCTATTTTCCATTTCGGTCATAGTCGAGAGAATGCTGTGTCATGAATACCCTTTGCAATTTGTACATAGCGGCTAAGCACAGCAATTTTCATTTTCGTGGCCTTCCATAGAGAAACGTACACATGTGAGTTTGCTACTAAAGGTTGTTTCTGAATGGCCTTAGGAATTTGGTACGTAATGTCTTACGGGGCAGTGTACATACCCAACCTTGAAACTTTTTAGCAGATCAGGCGGATAGAAGGTCAAGATTATGTGTTTCGTATTTATCAACTGACCTTCTTTACGCATCTTGATCCGCTTTGCAGTACAGGCATTCTGGTCGGGCAGCTCCGAGTCAATTTCCTCTTCAGAAACAAATAGGAGGTCGATCTTGGATATAACGTCACGACAGTAATTTTATAATTTATCTTCTGAAACATTAATGTCAACTTGCTCTAGTTTTTTTAATCCAAGGAGTGAGATCAACTGAATAGGAGAGGCAATTTCTATTAGTAAATGAGCAGCCGTTTGATGCTCTCTGATTCTCCAGTGACAAGTTTAATATTTTATGAACCAGGAATGTTAATATTTTATGCAGATCTCCTATTGTGTTCCTGATGACTAAAAATCGGGGGGGGGATTTTTCTCCTGGCTATCATTTCCATTTGTTGTGATTTTTTTTTATTGCGAAGCATTTTCATTTTCTACACTTTTTTTTATTTTGAGAAGCCGTACTGAAGAAAAAAGATTCAGACCATTCTGCCTTATTCAACATGATGCAGTCAACAAGGGGACGCAAATTCTTGCGCCAGAGTTAACCGGGTCTGCACGAAGTCTGAAACCCCATAGTCAGCTTTCCCGAAAGCATGAACTACCAAAAGCTTATTCCCAAGCCAGTGACCCGAAGCACAAGTTACCAGACGGTCAACACTAGCGGGGACAGCTAAGTGCCTCCCGTTTCAGTCTGAAGCAAAGGGCAAAAGCAGTGTGTTGAGGAAAGTACCTCCCCCCCTCTACTACCAGGACCCTTTTTCGAGCTTTAGAGGTTGTAACGCACGGCAAACGCATAGGCGGTTTCCCGTCCCACCAAGAGATCGTGACTTTTTAAGGGCTAAGGTACCTCGGGATCCCCACACCCGTACTCACAAAGACTGAGCCCCTGAGGGGCTTCAAAAATGTGAAAACTCGTCAAAGAATGGGCGCGCTTTTCGCATCAGTTTATCTGTGTTTGCATCAAAAAATGAAATGTCAAAAATAAAACATTTGTTCAAATGGCCACGAGTGCAAGTACCTCTGTCCTAGCGTCTAAACCATTTTACATATACTATGAATAAAAGTAAGAAAATAAAACAAAATATCAAAAGTGCAGAAAGATCCAAAACTCGAATACATCAGATAAACATCGTATTCTAAGCTGAATAGTAGTTGTATAATTGTATCATCTTTCATTAGATAGTAGTTTAGAACTATTAGCAACGAGTATGCACGTCATCAATCATCTAAGGGCCATATGAGGTCTGCAGTAAAGCTTTGTTTGTGTTTGTAAACAAATATGTCGTTCTATCAAAAGCAACTATATTTTATTGCTGAAATTCATTTTATTTTTTTATTTTAACTAATTTTTATTGAACAGTACTTTTCTGTTGTTTTCGTTGTTGAACAGTATTGTAAACCTTGCAATATACCAAGACGATAGTACATAGTTAATTGTGTTTCATAGTTCATAGTTAATTGAAGAACATGCAATTGTACAATTTTTTATTAAACTATGCCAATTTTCTCATTATATCATATATCATGCAATTTTGCTTTAAACCAGCAGACTTTACTTGTTTATTATGATATACGAGATTAATGTGATGTTTTTGATCAATTTATGCAAAATAAGTCGCAAAAACTCAAAAAGTTAAAAGAATGCATGTTACGTCCATTTCAGATGTCATCATAACTTGCATCATACTCTCTGTGCTCTCCATGTTACAGAATTAACATTGCATAGAAATAAGGTGTTTCGAAGGATTTTACATTTAAATATTGTTGCGTTCTACGAGTTCGTGGATTTGGAGTGGTTGTTGACAACACTTATTGACGAATCAAAACGCAATTTATTCGTCAGTATTTCACAGGACAGGTCCGAAGACGTGTTACAGACATAAAAAAACTACGATAAACACACTGAATCAATCAGCAACACAGCCTTCAAACTATTTAGCTATAACGGTGAAGGCAGCTTCATGTCAAAACACTAAATACAACTCCCGTCTCGGTCGATCATTCTTGGAGTTCAGCACACTCAAGACACTCTTTACGATAAAACTCACGATACACTCGACAATGCACTTCATGACAAAACTGACGATACACTGTTACTCCGCGTACAGGCAGGGTTTATATAGCTTTTTAACTCGCCTTCGAGAACATTCTGGGGTAAATCAGTAAGAATTTGTTCTAGAATGTTCTCGATCCGTCTATGGTATATCGCCAAATGGGCAATTTCGCGCTAAGTCTAGCAACCCTGCATTTCCTTACCACTTTCTGACAACAATAAACCAGCTTTGCGGGGAAGCTATCTTATCGCAGCTGGACATTTCGTAAAAATATTATTAGCTACACTGAGATCATAATAATTCTCATCTCAGTACGGTTGTTCTGTGATTCATGTATAGCAGAGCAATTTAAGTCAGAAAACACCTTACATTGTTTCTGATTCAGCTGTGAGTAATTAAAGGGTAGTTTGCTTATAAAAAAAAGCTCGCTATATGACAGCGTGGTTTTTTATATGTAAATAAACAAAGGCCAATCTTCTAGAAATTTCTTCATTTAAATATTTCTTCTTTTAAGTTGATAAAAGAATTGTTATTTCTGAATTTAAAAATCTAATCCATTTCGACAACATGAAGTTATTATTTTATAAAAAATGTATAATTCAACTTCTTATATATAATTTCATAGAATTTTTATCTTTTCTCTCCAGAGAGCTTTTACCGTTGGGATAGGAGGCCCTGTGGGTTCCGGAAAAACTGCATTAGTTTTAGCCATCTCTAAACTAATGAGAGCGCATCATAATTTGTGCATAGTGACTAATGATATCTTTACCAGGTAAGTTCGAGTTTATTTTTTATATTTGAAATAAAACCTGAGATTATTACGAATTATTTTCATAGTCAACGTTTATCAGGGTAGCGGAAAAAGATGGGATTACAAATGGGGATCTTAGTGTCACAAACAATCAGAATTTTGAGTGAATGTAACCCAATATATATGAAGAATACTGATGTAATAAATAAGTATCGGGACTGGTTTTATAAAATGCAAGATTTCAATTTATTGGTCAATATTTATTTCATCCCCTTTAAAATAATCTTAGTAATGGCATTGCTAAAATTTCTTCTAATCCTCGGAACAGAGTTTTAAAGTCGTTTCTATAAAACCTAATGAGGACTCGTAGATAGTTTCCCTTTGTTGCATCAATAGACTCAAAATGGCGACTATGAAGGAGCAGTTTCAATTGTTGGAATAAAAGAAAAGTTCCATGATGTCGTAACAAATGAATATCAAGTTTGCTAAATCATAGCTCGTGAACTTTTGGCCCAAAATTCACAAACAACAGGAACAGGTGCATCACCGTGTCTCAATGTCACCATAATTAATTTTCTGCGAATTTATTCATGCATACGGCGGAAAACACTCAACTAATATATTTTGTTGCCAGTTTGCCCAAGTGATAAATATTGATAATTTTTCGGTGCTGCATCAATGAAGGAAACAGTTAGTATTACTCTGATTTTTGACTGATGTGAACGTAAACTTTCTGGTGTGGTTTCGTTTTTCTAGGCCATTTGATTGTTTGTTGAGTTGCTTCTGTACTAAAAGGATAAATCTTTGTTTCTATTACCAATAAAAGAGAGGCTGGCTTTGAAAAAGCATCTTCTGCGCTACTTGAGCGCGTTTCAATCGGATTTGTAAGGATTATGTTAATTTTATTAACAGTTAAATTTTAAGTTCCTTTCCTTTCAAATTCTTAACTTCAACTTACTATTTCCGGCCAGAACGTAGTTTTAGAATGACTCTGAATACATAATGAGGAAGAGCGGTATTTAACCGCGAAGTTCTACTTGCTGAGTTAGAGAGAATCAGAGTTTCTGATTTGCGCGCGTCTGCCTTTTGGCTACTCTCTCTCAAAGCTGTTATTACTCTCGGCCGTACTCAGGCCCTTGATAACTTCGCAGTCATCTCGTGTTTAAGGGGCCAACTGCATTAAAACTTTGATAGCTTCGGCTATATCTCTTTAGTTTAAATTAGTTTTAGTTTACTTCTTAGCCTCTTAAGTTCAAGCCCAAGTGTCGGCTTTCATTGTACACTCCAAGACGGAGTTCTGTTAAATCTTATATGAATAATACAGGATTATTTACCCTTTCATCTTGTTGTTTCTTGTCACACGACTCAAGCGATTATTCGCTTAACTGTTCTTAAGATTCTCCACGTTCCACAATAACTTAGCATTTACAAAGTGAGGAACTCTACAGAGTAATTGGAGAAGCGTTGTACTTCAAAATCAAATGATCTTTCAGAATTATTTGACATGATTCAGATGAGGTATGAACGGGATATGAGAACGTTAATCATTAAACTACCAGTATATCTAGTGTATGTTCCACACTAGATATACTGGTAGTTTGATGATTAACATGCAGTTCTGAGGACAATGGATGTTTCAATTAAACATACAGCATGATTATCGCATTTATCCTGACTCACTGTACGGTAAACTTTTATTCCAGCTGGAACTCAGTAGAACACGGCCTGTTAACTTAATTTTGTATATTTTTCTTCTCACGGATAGCATTTAAATATTTATACTGATTTCATCTACGCGTCTGTACTTATATCTACATCCTGGCCTTATATATGCATGGCCAACTTATGCTATACTACTGTAATATACCTGTACTATACTACTGTAATATATCTGTACTATACTACTGTAATATATCTGTACTATACTACTGTAATATATATGTACTATAATACTGTAACTGTCCTGTACTATGATACTATTAATCCTGCATTATAATGCAATAATACTGTAATTGTCCCACCCTTTTACTGTCCCTCCTTATTCTGGTCTATCTTTCAGTATTCCTCGCTTTACATAATTAATTTCGGGAGGACATTGTACTAAAAAATTCTTGTTATTTATTACTATTATTATTAATTCATCAAGGGAATAAAACAAGTTGATGAGCACCTAATCCAGCGGTAGAGGTCTCGTTCATTTCTAATTCATTTATTTTGTTACCGGAATCCGCCGTTACATTACTGAAGTTATGTCCATGGTTGTATCCCATCATCGGCATTCACTTTCCGTCACTCTTCCTTTTGAAAGTATGGTGCGAGATCGCATGTCCCTGCCGTATGCTCATTGAACATACAGTGGATGGACAAAAATATGGAAACACCTTGTGAAATGCATGTTTGAAAAGAAAGATTGATTTTAATGAAATATGTAGGTGGCGCTGACGTTTTTGACTACTGACGCCACCTATACAACTTCGTAAATGTGCTAAACAGTTCAGTTGTTGTCGGAGTACTGTTATGTGAGGTTGTCATTGCATTATGTCAGAGTTAACAGACTTCGAACGTGGGCAAATTGTTGGAGCACGTATGGTAGGTGCTTCCGTAAGCAAGGTAGCCGAGGTGTTTAGTGTTTCAAGAGGTACTGTATCGAAGATTTATTCCGCATATTTGGAAAGCGGAAATACATCATCTGCTAAATCACAGCGCGGACGAAAGTGTGTCCTGAGTGATCGTGACAGACGATCATTAAGGGCAATTGTGACGAAAAATAAGAAGACCACAGCTGCAAAAGTTACTGCTGAAATGAATGTTGTGTTACCGAACCCTGTGAGTACCAAAACAATTAGAAGGGAGCTTCATAAACAGGGAATTGCTGGCCGTGCTGCAATTGAGAAGCCACTCATCAGTGATGCTAATGCCCGTAACAGGAAAAGATAAAGTCATAAAGCCTGGACTATAGAGCAGTGGAAGCGAGTAATATGGTCTGACGAGTCTTCTTTCACATTTTCCCACTTCTCGTCGTTCTCCAGACGTACCAGACGTAAACTCTACGTCTGGAGAACGCCATCTCAATCCTATAATACAGACTGCTCGTTGCCAAGAGTGAAACATGGCGGGGGTTCTGTTATGGTTTGGGCAGCCATATCGTGGTTCTCTGCTAGCCCCATGATAACTGTGTCAGGGCACATGACTGCCTAGGCTTATGTGAACATTTTGGCCGATCAAGTTCATCTCATGGTACAAACTTTGTTCCCCGATGGTGATGGTGTCTTCCAAGACGACAAAGCCCCTGTTCACACAGCTCACATTGTCCAGGACTTGTTTTCTGAGCACGAGGATGAGTTGTCCCATCTCCCCTGGCCACCACAGTCACCAGGCCTGAATATTATCGAACCTTTGTGGTCTACATTGGAACGGAAAGTGCGTTCTCGTTATCCACCGCCAACATCGTTATCTGAACTTGCCACCGTTTTGCAGGTATAATATTCCCTTGGCAAACATACAGGAACTGTATTTATCCATTCCGAGAAGACTGTAAGCTGTTTTGGATGCCAACGGGTTTCCTACACCATATTAAGCAAAGAAACGTGTTTTTTTAAAGGTGTTTCGATATTTTTGTCCAACCCCTGTAGGTAGTGTTTGACTCCTCTCTCGTGGTGTAAGACTCCTACCTTGATCTTCGCATTCTTAGGATCTTTCACTACTCACTAATTGAGAACATCTGTACATGGTTGCAGAAAGACTGCCACAATAATACTCATCAGCCAATACGACAGACAGACCCTGGTATAGAACTGAAATGATGTGGATTGCAATATTCATAATTATTATCCAAAGTCAGTTCAGCTTCATGCCTAGCCATGTAACAGCTTTCACTGGCGTCAGAGGCGGATTCTCAGGTTACTGATTTCTTAACGTTTTCTACATCAAATTTACTCAGAATTTTAATTATTCCGTCCGTCTTTATAATGCATTTGTGACATAAATATGTTCCCTGTGGCTGCTTTCCTTCATAATTTAGCAATTTTAATGTCAGGAATGTATGTAAACAGACATATTTATTAATGTATTTTTTCTATTGTAGAGAGGATTGGGAGTTTTTAGTCAAGAACCAGGCCCTCCCAGAAGATAGAATAAAATCCGTAGAAACAGGAGGCTGTCCTCATGCTGCTATTCGAGAAGTAAGGATTGTTATGTTAAATTTGAAATTTGCTTTCTGCTTGCAATAAATTGATTCCATTACAGAACTGTATACAATTACCTTTTTATTTAATTTACTGCAATATAGTCATAACCTCCTTTATGTGCTTTAGCATTACAAAAGATTACTCTCAATATTATTTATTTAACTCTGTCCATAAAACATGCTGCCTTACCGAAGAGAACAGTTTTTCAGTTTTTAATTACAGAACGCATGGAAATGGTCACTTTTACCTGTAGCGATGGGTAAATGATTACTTACCTGGATCTTAATATAGTAAATATTATTTTAAAATACGTATCAACGCAACTCTGTATATATTAACTTCATAGTCATTTTTGTGAACTCTCGGATTATTAAAAACTTTAAAATCGAATTATATTACGTGGTTCTTTGACAGTTTTATCGGATATAATAAAGAAATCAAGCAAAGTAATCGAAATTATGAATTCATAAATCGATCATCGTCATAATTTGATTCATCTTTAAAAAATATGTTTAAAATTTTAAATTTGGTTTAGTTTTTCCACCACACGCAAAATAATCCTTTCGCCAGCCATTGCCATAGCAGACAAGGAAGTAAGGTCTAAATTAATCAAGAGACATTGCTAATTATTTTTTTGGCATTAATTTATTCTTAAAAGCAAGCTATTATTACTGGTATTTTATTTACTTATTTCTTTCTATTAAAATTATTTACTCTTTATTTTGTTTAAAACCTTTTGTCACTAGACTCTATTTACTTGCTGATGCTGTATATTTCCACGACAATTTGCGATCACGAATACAAACATGCAGTTCGAACTGGGCATGTGTACCGAATGTGCTGTAGTCTGTGCTTTAGAATGAGCATTTCAAGGACACTTGTCCCCAAACCATCCTTCATAGCCATGTTAACGACTGATCCGAAAAAAAGTCAAATCCTCTAATTTGCTAGAACTTCCTAGCTAATCCTGTGTGGTGATGACGACACACATTACAACTGTAAATGAGAAAAAGGTGGCCATAACATTGAAGTAACTATTTATATGTATCAGACTACTAAAGGGTATGATTCTTGCTGGGAACTGTTTAATGTTCGAAATTCATCTTTAGTTTACATTGATAAGAAGCAGAAAATTATAGAAAATATAAAACAAAAGGTTTTAATCATTTCAAAAATAATTAAATTTTTCATCCTTATTAAAATAAGTAGGAGTGAGGTTTCTTTAATTTAAATAACCAATTATTTTATGTTTTGAATCTGTACTCTCACTTCTGCTTTTCCGTTGTCCCGCCAGAATGCAAAAGGAGTTCACGTGTATTTGAAGTTGTTTTATTGCATTTTTTTATTTCTGATGAACAGGATTATTCACTGAATCTGGAAGTGGTGAAAGATTTGACCAAAAAATACAAACCTCAGATAGTTTTCCTAGAATCAGGAGGGGATAACCTTGCTGCAAATTTCTGTCGGGACTTAGCCGATTATATAATATATGTCATCGATGTGGCTGGTAAGATAAGTTTCATTCATTTTTCATTGCTTCTTGTATAATGGTAAGTTTTAGCTTTATTGAATACATAAAGAAAAGAGAAAGAAAGACCGAGTCTTAATGATAGCATTACGGCAAACTGAAATAGAAAAAGAGCGAAGGTTTACAATGCTAATTAGCATAATGTATGTAAACCTGGCAGAACGAGTTGCGGAAACAAATGTTGCTAAATTTTTTTATAAGTTGGTTGTAAGAAAATGATAATCATAATCTATGACTAAGGACGGACATAAGTGAAGAACCCTACATAAACATCTGCAAAATATCAGGAATGTAGAAGTGATCCGAGACAATGTACCAACGTATTGACAGGATATTTGAAAAGAACTTACTCGAGAATATATTAAAGACTAAATGAAAATACCGGTTAGAATTCGAAACATTAGCCATAATAAATTCTCAAAAAATTGTTGCAGAACTTTTTCGAATGTTCTCTTTCTACCCTTTTGCTTGACACATAGTCCTGGATCTTATTTTCCTACTGATAGTTAAAGACGATATGGTAAAGACTATTGAAAACGCTTTCTGCCGGGTTTATTTACATTACGCAATTTTGACGGCAAATTTGTGTCCCTTTCGTTTAATTATCCTCACTGTTTACTTATATTTCTTTCTTTCTTTCCCCCCCCATAATTTTTTGTATGTTTATTTAAACTTCTGAATGTCTTCAAAGTATTAACTGTTATAAGGTTTTTTCAATATATATATATATATATATATATTATTTTTATTTTCTTGTTACGTCTTTCTGAAATTTTGAAATGTTGTCTCGTTTAAAGTTCATTTTAAACAGCCGAAATTAATCCACAAATCTGACGCGTAAAGAAATAATTAATAAAACTGCATTTTTCTTCAGGACTAAAACTTGGATGGTACTTGATCACCGCTTCCCAAAGAAGACCACTTTTGAGAGTGACTAGCAGTTTCGAGACTACAAACAAATAAAAGTACTGAATGTTGCCTTTCTAATATAAATCACTTCCACAGAAGACCGGAATTTGTGTGAAACCACATCTGGTTGTCTTACAGAGGGTCATTTAACCACACTGGGCAACTTGTCAAGAGATTTCTTTTCTGTTCAAACATCTTCTGGTCTCAAATTGTTTTTTATAATTAAGGCCGTTGTTTCATTGAGATCCAGAGCCTATATATTCTCCCCTCTGAAGCAACAATTCCTTGTGGCTTACTACGGGCGAAACAAACCAAAATAAATAAATTACAAACATGAATCTTGCGAATCTTCTAAAGACAAGAATTTTCTTTTAGCCATGCGAATGATTTTTCATTTTTTCTTCGTTTATAAGCAAAATACCAACTTTCGTGAGCCCACAAAATGCCCATATACACAGAATGCCCATTCGTCAGATTCAAATTACTCGTATTCAGAAGACTTATTCTCCTGGTTGTTGATGAGATAGCTACTAAATACTTGAAAAGAATTAACTATCTGACATTTCAATCAAAATCTCGTTGTGTTTTTCTCTTTCTCCCGCTCTCTGTTTTCTTTATCCAACCTTTGAACAGCAGGCATTGTCCGTATAAATTTAAACAACTCCATTTTTTTCCCTCGAAGAAACGATATTTATAAAAAAAAAAAAAAAAAAAAAAAAAAATGTGATGTATGACATAATTGTAAACACTGTTACTTACTACACTCTGCTACTTTAGAATAGATATTTCAAGGTTTTTTTCACCTTTTCTCATTTCGATCGTAACATATGTGTTCATCCCCAGCGCAGCACTTTTTTCTATACCTCGTCAGTCTTCCTCTGTGCAATTTTCATGAAACAAAACACTCTAAAAGGAAATTAAGAGAGATAAAAACTATTAAGGAACTCGACCATGTGCAAAAGCCTTCGTTACCGTTGTTAGGAGACAAGTCGAGCAGGAAGGAATGATTCTGAAGTGTCTATTCTAAAGTAATGTACTACAGAAAAGGTGATCGAACCTCAGGACAGTTGAAGCAGGGTTTAATACACACATTAATATACATATGCATAGTAGGAGCCACATAATTTGTAAAAATGATTTCTCAAGTTGCTTTTTATTAAATGCATATTTGAAATTTTGCTTAGTTTAAATCCTTTAATATTAAATTAAAAAAAATTATTCAGATTTCCCTCGTATTAAAATTATTAAAGGAGAGTTAGTTAAGGAGCAGATTTATATATTTTTACTGTTAAACGCCCTATGAGAAATGGTTTTAATTTTAAACACTTAAAAAAAGTACATTTTTTAATGTTTTGTAAACGTGCATATAATACGTTTTCGCTGCATGTTTTATAAGTTTAACTAGCCACAATTCTGAAACATTTTTACAGGTGGCGATAAAATACCTCGCAAAGGAGGACCTGGCATCACTGAGAGTGACCTGCTGGTTATAAACAAAACTGATTTAGCGGATGCTGTTGGTGCCGATCTAGAGGTAAACATCCCAACACATGCAGAATGATAAATGATTAGAAAGAGCAATACGTAGTAAAAAATTCCATTTAAACTGTGTAGATTGCCAGTTTGTGGAAGGTTTTACGATAATATCAATTCCTTATTCTTTTGCGTATAATTATTCTCTATCAGTATTTTACGCAATAAAACAATGTTTCCCAATCCTTGTATCGAAAGGGCAAATTTTTCATTTTATATATGCATTTATGCCATTTAATAAGAGTGCGAAAGCAATATACTACTATTTTCAACGTTAGAGTAGTGCAAAGCTGTGTTATTTTGCTAATATAAAATACTGAAATCTAAATTGAGAATATTTTTTTATGACGAGTTATTATTTTATAGTTATTTTTATAACGAGTACAATATTTTCCTAACCATAAATGTAATGATCAGAGAAACGTATAAAAAGTCAGATTTGGCAATTTTTACAAAATTCATTTGTTTAAATTTAAATATACCAAAATATAAATATTTGCGTCATTTAAAACATTTTTGTACTTGGAAGTATATATTTCATGACCAAAGGTTGCTGGCCGACACGATGTGCTTGCGTGCGTGTGCGTGTATATAGATATAACAAACCATTAATTTTTATAATTAGAAAACAAAAGATTATACTAGCATGGAAAATTTAAGAAATATTTAATTTGAAATTTTAAAAAATTAAACAGTGGGATACTTTTAAATTTTAGAATGAAGTCTATAAAGCAAACTGAATTTCTAAAATTATACTAAAAACAAATGTTTTTAAAACTTTTCATTATGAAAACTTATAAAGGAAAATTAAAAAATGCATATTAATTATTCCTATTTTAATACTTCAATTCGACTCATCTATTCTCTAATGGGAAAAAGAATTTCAAAACTAAGAAAAAAATTAATGTAGAGTAATGAAATTTCGGAAATATATTTGTCTAGGTAACAGGTAACATATTTAATTCACCAAATTTTCAAGAACATGGGTTAATCCAAGGCCGAAAACAGCCTTTTCAAATGTGAAATGCTGGTATATTAATACCCAGTGTAACCGCCAGAATGTGGAATGCAAGCATGCAAACGTGCATGCATTGTTTCGTACAGGTGCCGGATGTCAGTTTGTGAGATAGAGTTTCATGCCTGTTGCATTTGGTCGGTCAATATACGGACGGTTAATTCTGGTTGTATGTAGATGATGCTGGAGTTGTTGTCCAATAATGTTCGATTCGTGTTCGATTGGAGAAAGATATGGTGATCTAGTAGGCCAAGGCAACATGTCGACACTGTAGAGCATGTTGGGTTAGCGGTACGAGGGCGAGCGTTATCCTGTTGGAAAACACCCTCTTGAATGTTGTTCATGAATGGCAGCAGAACAGGTTGAATCACTAAACTGGCGTACAAATTTGCAGTCAGCTTGCGTGTGATAAGCACGAGGGTGCTCCTGCTATCATACGAAATTGCTTCCAGACCACAACTCCAGGTGTAGGTTCAGTGCGTCTAGGCCTCAAACAGACTGGTTGCCATTGTTTTTTCCCGTTGTTTAATTTGATATATATATAAATTATGACGGGAGTTTATCAACAAATTAAATTTAATAGGATCAAATTGGCAATACTCCTTTAGAGTCCTAATTTTAATCTTAACGCAACCTCTTCAGTGCGTCATTTACGTCACTCTTTCTCTGTAATTTCTCTGCATTGCTATAGACTTTTGTCCAATACCTGTGCAGGATTCAAGGCTTTTCCGACCTTAAAAATACTACTGAACTAATACGCATCACTTTGCCTGCTGCTGTCTAGGAAAGTCATGTAATTTATTTACCAAAGTCATGTAATTTATTTAGTCACAGTTCTGAAACTTTCCACAAAAATACTCCTACAACTCTTCACAGTATTACAGAGTACAATCAGTGGTTACATTTCAAACTACTAAAGAACGTTAAGCGCATCTGATGCAAAGCGCGTCTAAAGAGCAAGCTAATACGGAAGATATCTCCAAACTCCGAACTCACGCTGAACTAAACAACTATTACTACGAAAATGATGCTCTCCTCGGTTTTATACAGTTTCTCCGGCCTCTGAGAGACTTCTAGTACCTTCCACTTCTCGAAATAACTGGAAAGCATATGATGGCCGGATATGTTTACAGCTGCATACGTTATAGCATCAATTACAGTTATTCAATAACAATACCCATTACAATTATACAGGAGCGGAACAAAATGTCGCCAGATAATCCCCAAAAGTGGCGACTTTTGCTAATTTTCGCCAAATTTGGCGGAAAATGTTTGGTCTCCCAAACCATCGCCAGCTTGCCGATAGACCAATTTACGAGATAGCTATTTAGTCAGTGTTAAATAGACTTGCCCCTTTATGCTTACTTTTTCGGAAAAGCTTCGCCTCTTTACATTTTCATAATACATTATACAAAAAGATACCACAAATTCACAAATAATTTCAATAAAATTATTTACCATCTGTACAGAATTCGTAACAGTATCGACAGACAACAGTCCAGAAAGTTCACATACAGAGGGTAAATTTTGCATTAAATCAAATTTCTTTGCTTACTTTTCTTGTTAAACTGACATATTTCGCAATGTTTACGATAATTTCGAATATCTTCTACTATTCCTGCACAATAGTACTGAGGAAACAACAAATTTAACCTTGAGGAGACGCCAGTATGCCCAAACTCCTCATGAGCTCTTTCCAGTAATTTAATCCGAAGAGAATTACAATTTTGTTTAAACCTTGCTTCTTTATAGTTAACACATCATAAATTTTCTTATACTTAGGGTTACAGACATAGTCTAAATTCTGATGATCTTTAATTTCTTCTAACGATAATAAATTAGCTTTTACATATAAATGTTGTCAAACGAAATTTATTGTAAATTCCATTGAAATTGTTGTAAAGGTTCTACATATTAGTAGAGCCCACCAGCGGCCGAGCGGTAAAGTCGCTGAACACTGGTAGTTCGGTCCGAGGTTCGAATCCCGCGAACGGGCTGGCTGCATGGGTGTTTTCGTGGTTTTCCCCATGTGTAACGTGTATACGAGCCAGTTTCCCTTAGAAAGTCCTCCACGAAGGCATCCCTCCCCTTAGGCTGATAGCCCTAGTGTGCTTTGCCATAATTAAATACACCACACCATATTAGTAGAACTTTTTTTTATATTTTATATCAACATCATTTATAGATAATTTAAAAAATCATCGAAGTAGTCTACCTGCAGGATGTTTTTAAGCGAAACTAGTGCAGTATGATCAGTATGTACAGTAAAATGGTTACCATGCAAATACTAATAAAATTTTCGAATAAAGTCTACAACAGCTAAACATTCTAATTCAGTAGTTGCATTTCTTTCATAAGATCTTAATTTTAGAGAATGGTAAGCTATGGGATGTAAATTACCATCGGGTTGTTCTTTTAGAATTACAATAGCAGCTTCTTAAGATGCATCTACAAATACATGAATGGAATATTTTGGATTAAATAAAGTTAACATAGGTCTTGAAATTAAAGCTTCTTTTAAATTATAAAAGGCTCTTTGGTATTCAAGTATCCGTTTGTATGGAGCATCTTTTTTGAATAAATTCGTTAAAGGGGCTCTGATTCTTGCATAATATGGAATAACTATATGATACACGTTAATACTTCCGAGAAATGTTTGTAATGCTTTATCAAGTTTAGGATGTTGAAATGTTTTAAAAATAATTTCAATATTTGCATGACTGGGGGATATTTCCCAGCTTGAACTTCACATCCTAGAAAATTTATTTTTTCTTTAGCAAAATGGAACGACTGATTTAATTTTATGTTTTCTTTTTCACATATGTCAAATAGTATTTTAAGATGTCCTAGATTTCTTGAAATTTTGGGGAAAATACTGTTCTGTTATCAAAATAATTTAAGCAAACTGAATTTGATGTTTATTAAAAATTTGTCTAACGGCTCTTTGAAAAACAGCTGAGTCGTTTTTCCAAACAAAAGGTAATTTATTAAATTCTTGAAGAATCAAAATGAGTTGCAAATGCTAATTTCTAGATATTTTTTCATTTAACTTTATATTCTAATAACCAGATACTATGTCTGATGTAAAAACACTTTTGCATTCGTTAAGTGGTCTAGTACAGCGTCTATTCTAGGTATGGGTTCAGAATATGTTTTAATAATTTGATTAAATTTTCTATAATCGATACATAATCTAGTTTTTGCATTTTCATCTTGTTTATAAGGTCAAATTACAGGGACATCATGAAGGCTAAATGGTAGTTTTATGGTACAGTAATCGCGGTTAATGGGGACCAGAACCTTCCGCGAAAGCTGAAAAACCGCGAAGTAGGATTTGTCCCTAGGACTTTTTGTGTATGCCGGTACAAGAATGTTTTAAATATGTAAAAAGCATTTATACTTTACACATTTAAGACAAAAATTACAACAGTATACCTATTTACTTAAGTGCTAATTAATAAGGTTAATTACAAAACCTTATACAGTAATAAACATTAATTTTTGAGAAAGGCGAAGAGTCTTGTGTTGGTGGCGGAGGATAGGCTATCACTTGATTCGTAGAAGCTTTAGGCTCACTCGGAGACTCTTCTGCTGGAGGAGCTGACGGTAGAGCCGGGAGCTTTACCTACGAGAGAAACATGGTGATGGGTAGTTGTTGTCTTTGTTTTTTCTTTTCCTTCAAAATTCCCCTGTACAAGGGCATAACACCGTCAACGCGATTGCTGAACTCGGCAGCTCGAACCATATTGTCGTCAATATCTTGTGCAAATTATTGCATCGCTCTTGCAGTGTTGTAGATTCTCCGGGGTAAAGCCACGCTTTTCAGTTTCTTCTTCGTCTTCCTCTTCGTTTTCTTCCTCACTTGCAGACTGTCATCTCAAGGAGGTCTTCATCGGTCAGTGGGTCCGAGTGGCAATCGATAAGGGCGCTGATGTCTTCTTTTGTCATGTCGACAAATCCTTCATTCCTTATGATGTGAGCCAGCCTCACCGCCTTCTCCACCGCTGAGTGATGAACTTCTTCAGGAGTGAAGCCTGGATAGTCGTGCACCACGTTCGGCCATAATTTCTTCCAGCTAGAATTTATGGTCTCATTTTTCATGTCCTTTAATGTTCGCTGAATATTAGACAAACAATGTCGTAACTGCGCCAGTATTCTCTCAACGTGAATTCATCATTCGCATCGTCAACTGCCGAGATAAGGCCCTTCATCGTGGAGTGAGTGTAGAATGTCTTAAAGACAGGAAAGACACCTTGATCTATCGGCTGAATTAGAGATATAGTGTTCGCGAGCAGAAACGATCTGCACACCGTCATATTCCAGGTCCGTTGAATGGCCTCCTGCACAGTCCATCAGGAGAACGACCTTAAAGGGAAGGCCCTTTTCAGCCAGATACAGCTTCACCTGGGGAATGAAGCAATGAAGCAACCATTCAAGAGTCAGAGCTTTCGTTATCCAGGCCTTGGAGTTATGCATCCAGAACACGGGCAACAGAGTCGTATTTTTTTAAAGCCCGTGGATTTTTGGCTTTATAAATAAGACCTGGCTTAATCATAAAACCTGCAACATTGCCAGCCATGATGACAGTCACGCGGTCTTTGTGAGCCTTGAAGCCTGGCCTCTTCACTTCGTTCTTGAAGAGGAATGTACGCGAAGGCATCCTCTTCCAAAAAAGGCATGTTTCAGCCATGTTGAAAGCTTGTTCAGGGAGGTAGCCTCCCTTACTGATGAGATTAGGAAACTCTTCCTCCACGTAACGTCAATCAGCATAGGAAGCCTCATCATACAGAAGCACGTTTCTTAGGCCGTATCTTTTATGAAATTTTTCGAACCAGCCTTTGCTGGCTGAAAAGCCTCGTCCTCGAGGAGACGAATCACTCCTGGCAGCGCCATTACTGGCTTGAGGTTCGTAAGCACCTTCTTCACCCACTTCATTGTCGTCTTTGGGCAAGATTTGATCGTAGAGAGTTTTGGCCTTTGTCCTGAACTTATTAGTGTCCAAACTCGCTATCTTTTCCCTGCGATCAGCAATCCACAATGTCAGTGCAGCTTCCATTTTCGCAATTATATTATTACGCGGAGTTACCACATGTTTTGCTTTTTTATTGAAGGTTATTGAAGCAGTTTTGCGGATGTTTGCTTCCTCTTTCTTGATATACCGCACTGTAGATTCATTCACCCCGTAATAGCGTGCCACAGATGCATAACTTCTGCCCTCTTCGATCATATCTAAATGTTTTACTTTTTCGCTGATGGTCATCATCTTCTTCCTCTTGGGCACCCCGGAGGAAGCTTTCGCAGGGGCATAGCGCTTAGGCGGCATTATAAGGGCTTAATTAATAAAAAAAGTTATCGCTTAAACAAAAAAAGTTATCACCAACACAACACTAAAATACAGTATGCGAGACAGTAAACATCATGGACAAGACTGGCGAGATACAACAAGAGAATATGCTAGGTGAAGCTGCGATGATGTGCGATCAACTCACAGGGATAAATCCAGTCGTGGTCTCATTGGCCGATGTCGCACCGGAAACCAATCATGCGCCATTATGAGAGCCCGTGGTATGTACTCTGAGTCAACTCATCTCTTCGTTTGGTTGTATTTTTTTATTTTTATTTTATTCTGGAAAACCCCTTCGAAGCACTGAAGCCGCGAAACATGAAGCGCGAAGTGAGGAGGGAACACTGTACATACATATAGTAACTCACCCTTTAATTTCAGTATTATTTTTAGGGGATGATCTATGTGGTCGAAAAGCGACAGGAAGTTCTTAAGTCAATATTACTCTTGGAGGTTCAATATTATACAACCTACATCTTCTGAAAATATATGACTGTGGTTATTTAATAATTCTTTCAACTTAAACGTGTTTACAAATTTACATTAACTTGGTTACCTGTTTCAATAGTAGTGGGACAGTTATTGTTCCCTATCTTAACATATAACTTAAAATACCGTCGTTTTGGGGGGTGAAGTTTGATTTTGATGGGATGGTGGTGTATTTAATTATGGCAAAGCACAGTAGGGCTATCTGTCTAAGGGGAGGGATGCCTTCGTGGAGGACTTTCTAAGGGAAACTGGCTCGTATACACGTTACACATGGGGAAAACCATGAAAACACCCATGCAGCCAGCCCGTTCGCGGGATTCGAACCTCGGACCGAACTACCAGTGTTCAGTGACTTTACCGCTCGGCCGCTGGTGGGCCTTTGATGGAATGGAAATTGACTATAATTTAAGGCGGAATACTGGGAATTTAGATATTTAAATAATGGTGGCTAAACATTTCTCCAGACCGGATTTTGTGGGAAATAAGACCTAGGGAAAAATGGTCATGGAGTAAGATAACTGAGATAAATAAAATATGGACGAGGATTTTGCCTAAGATTAGAAAACCTGGACACATCACTCGTGCTTTGTGGTTCTTCATATGAGCTTGGAGTTGAGATTAATTTTCGTGCTAGCGTAATCCAATTTTGAAGGAAAGTTATGTTTTGGAGAGATAACAATGTAGGATGTCACACATCTGATAATACCGTAACGACCTTGACCCACTTTCCTTGAAGTACTCTCAACTCAATCGCTGACAGTAAATACAAATGAAAATTGTTTCGTTCTAATGGATCAACGAATGGTTCTCTCGTTTTGAAATCATTTCGCTTTGGTCATTAACTTTTTTAACACTTTATCCACTGGAGTTTGCTGCATAGGTTTAAAAATTCTGCTCGATTCTAAAATGTAATATTTTCATTGATACGTCGATAGAACTTTAGAGAGTTGGCTAGAGAAGATGAAACCAATCACTCTTTAGTCATGGCCGAAAAAAACTGCTGGGTAGATGATGACTGGAGAAAAATTTCAATTGGCGCGATGGTTCAAACGCCATTTTTATTTTGAATAGGACCTGTTCTTCAGAAATAAGTTTTTGCTTAATTGATACAACACTAGTGGTACGAAACGTGCCTAACAATTTTTAGATACTGAGCTTGAAGTTTCAAGCTTGGCGAAGAGACATGACTTTCCTAAGCAGCAGCAGGCAAGACCATACGTAATATTTGCAGTAGTGTTTATAAGCTCGAAAAGTCTTTGTTTTAATCCTAAGCAGCGATTGGGCAAAAGTGTATGACAATGCAGATAAATTGCAGGGAAAAGGTGACATCAGCGACTCAGTATAGCTGTGCTGAAGGGGGTTATGTTAGAATTAAAATTAGAACTTTAAAGACTGCTTTCAATTTGTTCCAATTAAGTTTAATTTGTTAATGAATTTCTGTATATATAAACAAAATCAAAATTAATTCAAATCATATTCTGTTATGTTAATTACAAATTATTTAATAAAAAATTCTTTTGTAAAACTGCAAAAAGTATAAAAAAAATAATGCATCAGTTAACTGAAGTAAAAAACAAATTTGTGTGGTAAATTAAGTTCAAAACTAAAATAAAAGAGTCGATTTTTAAAATTATCAGATAAACCTGTGCAAGAAGCTAAGTGAAAGCAAACTGATTTTACATTTCTCTGGACATCATTTTCGGGAAGTTTGTATCTCGAGAAAGGTGAAAGAAAATTAGAATGTTTCTGAATCAATAAATATACGATCAAGAACTTTTTATACGAACAATTTACGAAAAACATAAATTAGAATGAAACCGATTGCATACACAACCCGATAGGCTGAAATTTAAAAAGAATTCTGCTTAAATTCAATGGCGGCAATAAATTATAAAATGAAAGCAATCATTAGAAAAAAAAAAAAAAAGGCATTATAAAGAACGATCTTAAATGTATAAAAACTTGCAGTATGAAACTTATAAATTGGAAAATGAATGAGAAGTTAGACAATTGAGCAATCAATAATTAATCAGAATGCCTTATTTATAACAAAAATAGATTAATACTAAGAAAATTTTAATCAGACACAAATTTTGCAAATCAGTAAGTTAAATTATTTTAGAAATCTAATGATTCTTAAGTAGCATCCGATAAAGCAAAATAATTTAAAGCTTATATCTTTAAAATGCGAAGAGAATTTAGTGGCAATTAATAGGCAATAATTTAACATTACTGTATAACGCAGCCTAATAAAATTAGTAGAATTGTAAGAAACGTAGAAAGAAAATAGGATGAAAAAAATTTTTTACCTTGTAAATTTCTTGTATCCGTAACCAGAAATACGAATATTTTTTTATTTTATATAATAGTTTTACATTATTTTATTTTACTATAGAAAACTATTCTTTAATGAGAACATTAACTGAGACTGCAATCTCGAGTTCTCAGAATGTAAGTTACCGTATTTCTGATTTCAGAGCTTTATGATTTATTCTGAATTTCAGGTCATGATTGCTGATGCTAATGTAATGCGACAGAATGGACCCACTGTATTTATTCAAGCTAAACATATGAAAGGCATCGACCAAGTTGCAGATCACATTCTCAAGGCTTACAAAGAGATTTGCCATGAATCATGAGATCCGCTTATTTCTTTAACACGTGAACTTCATTTCATAACAAATCCTCATATTTGCGCCATGTCATACAAAGCTACATCGACGTACTGAGAATTGTATTATAAAATTCTTCACAACCAAATGAGTTGCTTGAATTACTTTTGATTACTTGTGATCCTTTTTCACCAGAAATTTTTTGAAATTTTGAACACATTTGTATTTGCCGTGAAAACAAAATATTTTACCGCTATTTTGTTTTGTTTTGTTTTGTTTTGTTATTTATTTGAATTTAAGGTAACATTTTGTTCATGTAACCTAGCTTACCAAACAAACTGTTCCTAACAGAATTTTAGTCTTCGCATCTTCGAATAAATTGTAAGCAATCTTCGAAATGAATTTTTGTTCAGAATCTCTAGTAGAATATTTACGGTACATTTTTGATGATAACCTGCATCAGTTTCGACTTAATTATTTTAAACTAGCCGCTACGCCGCCAGCCTTCGTCTGGCTTTTAAATGTGTAAGGATCCTAAGTTTTACTAACGTTTATTTTATTTTAAATCTTTACTATCACTTCTTATTTTTTACTTCCGGCCAGAAATAAAAGCTTTAACTTATTTATGCAAATTTGTCTTGCTAACGCCAAGTACTTAAGTTGTGGCTTTTTGCCAAGCAAGAGAGAGGAAGGAGTTATTAGAAGCAGGCCGCTTGCCAAAGTAGATTTACTCGGTTGCTGGTTGCCTTCAAGGCCAGAGGTTTAATCCTCTTGATAATTTTAAACGTATTGTAGTTTTAGCAGTTCTCTGTACTACATACGGCTTTTGTTAATAACGGCCAATCTTGAAATTAGGCACTTGTATATTAATCCAAAGTTAGTTTAGTTAGAGTTTTAGTTATATTTTTATATTCTTACGTTCAGACCACAAGTGGTTGGTCTCTGTATTCCGAAGTTCCGGAAATCATTGTAAAGATAGAAAAATAAAGGGTTTTGTATACCCTTCCTGTGTGTATTGTCTACTTCCACAATTTATTGAACATAGCTTTAGTAAGCTCCCTGTTCCGAGTCAGGACAGTTCATGTTTCCAAAGCAAGTAAAGAGGAATACAAGAACCTGATAGTGGCGCCCGACGAAGAAGAATAACCATGGCCGAGTTTCAAGAAGAACCTGTGGTGCCTGCAGAAGCGGCTCAGAATCCAGAAATGCCAGCTGCCGCCCTGGAAGGATTTGGTTACATCGTCCAGACCATGCGCGCATCGATGAAACCAGAAGCAACATTTAATGGAAACTCACCGGTAACCAGTTTTTTTTGGAAAAATTGGATGACCACTTCATGCTGTATCCAGTCCATGAGTTCCAGAAAGTCACCTTAGCTACCAGCGCTTTGAGGGGCCAAGCGCTTAATTGGTTCAAATGTATAGGCAGAACCTCTTGGGTCAAGCGGGAAGTCCCACCTATACTTACGAAAATTTCAAGACTGCCTTAGTAAAAGCCTTCCCTGTCGTAAGAAATCGTGCAAAATTAGAAGCGGAACTCTTCAGCATATACCAGCAAACGAATTGAAAATCTCTCAAGCTTTATTTTAAGAAAAATTCACGTCTTTCAAACTCTTGTATGGAAAGCCGTCCGGATCCTGAGATAATTCCAAGTGATTTTGCCCAGGTTACTTCTCCAAGTACAAGACTTTATTGAATTAAGGAATCCGACTACACTGGAAAAGTTATTTGAGCTAGCAATACAGTTTGAAAGTAGAAAAACGGCGGACATTGAAAGAAGACACCAGTATGAGCAACGAAGCCAATTTGGTGCGCCAAGACCACAGCAAAGGCAAGAACACGGCTACGGAAGCAAATCGAATCAGTGGGCAAGGAAACCTGAGTATCCAAAAACAACCGGCGAACCTGTTATCCCAGCTAGTGCAGAAAAAAAGTCTGAAGGCCAGCGGAAAAAGAAGGAAGGCATGGAAAGGAAGAAAGAAAATTTAAACTAAAACGGATTTCTGCTGACGGGAGGGTGCGGAAATCCGAAGGCCAAGAAAACCCCTCTTCCTTCAAGTTAAATACAGTTGTTGTGAAAAATTTGACTCTTCCAAAGATTGAAGTTGTGGTGAACAATATCCCAGCCACCGCACTCCTGGATACAGGCGCGCAGTGTTCCTGTGTGGCAGAAGATTTTTTTAGAAAGTATTTCCGTAAAGTACAGCATATATAATTCGGATAATACGACAGTGTTAGCTGCGCAGGGAGAAAGATGCAAATGCATAGGTAAATTACCACTATATATTCGTATCAAGGACGAAGCAAGTAAAGATATGTTTTTTATCGTAAAAAATCTGCAAGCACATGTCATTTTAGGGATAGATTTTCTTTCAGAGGCAGAAGCAACGCTGGATTTCAACCAAGCATCCCTTAAGGTGACGATGAAACCAGTTCGAGAAGAAAACAGAGAAACACCGACGTTAAACCTCGACCACCTGCCTAAGGGAGAGCAACAAAAATTCGACAAGTGGTAAGTGAATTTGCTTCGTTATTTAGTGATATTCCCGGATTTACTCAAGTTACTAACCATAGTATCGACACCGGAGATTCAGTGCCAGTTCGCCACAAACTATATCGGTATGATAAGAATAAAGAAAAAATTATAGAGTGGCATATTCAAGATATGTTACGTAAAAAGATCATAACGCCTATCTCAAGTAGTTATGCTAGCCCGGTTGTGTTATGTAAGAAAAATAATGACTATCCGGTAACACATCCGAAAAGGTGGCGTTTTGCAATTGACTATCGTAAATTAAACTCCATGACTAAATATCCGGTATATCCGTTACCTATTATTGAAGAAATTCTAAGGAACATAACTTCTACCAAATATATGATTACGTTAGACTTAACGACTGGTTATTTTCAAATAGGGCTTAAACCGGAAGACGTGCCTAAGACTGCTTTTATAACCAAGTCTGGCACTTATGCATTCTTGCGTATGCCGTTTGGCCTTTCAGGGACACCGGCAACATTTCAGCGATGTATGGACATTGTGTTAAGGCCTGTTCTAGGAAAGACCACATTTATCTATTTAGACGATATCATTATTACTAGTGATAATCTGGACCAACATGTACAGGATTTAAGACAGGTGTTTTCATTATTAAATGAGGCCGGTCGAAAAGTGCAAATTTGCAGCCCCTGAATTAAAATACTTAGGTTACAAAATATCTCAGAAAGGAATCGAGACAGACGAATCAAAAATAATCGCTGTGCAAAAGTATCCGCCGCCAAATACGGCGAAGAAGCTCTCTTCTTTTCTAGGACTTTGTTCATATTATAGGTCCTTTATAAAAGATTTTGCAGCTATTGCTGAACCATTGTTAAAATTAAAAAGGAAAAAGGCAAGATTCTCGTGGACGGCCGAAGCCAATAGTGCTTTCGAAAAATTAAAGCAAGCATTAACGCAAGCCCCTGTTTTGAAATTTCCTGAAAACGATGAGAATTTAGAAATTTCAGCGGATGCTTCGGATTATGCGGTAGGAGCGGTACTTTCGCAAAATCAGCAGCCCGTGGCATTTTTTAGTAGAACTTTAAATCAAACACAAAGAAATTATTCCGCGACTGAGAGAGAGGCACTTGCAGTTCTGTTAGCAGTGCAAAAGTTCCGAGTCTATTTTGGAAGGGCGCCAATAACAGTGTATTCTGATCATGCGGCGGTAACTAGATTGTACTCAGGGAAAAACTTATCCCCAAGGTTAATAAGATGGGCACTCAAGTTACAAGAATATAATTCTGGTAATCAAGCACACCCCCGGAAAGGAAAATATCGTAGCAGATGCCCTATCCAGAATAAAAATAGATGAAGAAGGTAATACTGTAAAAGGTGGCAATGCTCACAGCATGTACAATACATTCCCGAGAAACTGTAATAACCGAACTGGGTAAGGATCCTGAATTTAAAAATATTTATGAGTATTTAAAGGATCCTGAAAATTTTAGCCACCAAGATATTGTGGCGATAAGAAATAGGGCGGCCCATTACGAACTAATAGATGGTCTATTATTTTATACAAAAACTACGAATTCCAACAACGAATTTCGACCTGTTATCCCAGCTAGTCTTAGATTAAATATCCTGCAGGAGTTACACGACTCCCCTTTAGCTTCTCATGCTGGTATTCGAAAAACCATCCAACGCGTACGCGAAGCAGTTTATTTTCCTGAGCTGCAAAAGTTAACAAGGGCGTATGTCCAGTCCTGCCCAACATGTCAAGCAGTTAATTATATTAATTTCCGCCCGGCCGGGTTTCTAAATAGTATTAAATCGAATTTCCAAATGAAATAATTGGCATCGATTTATTGGGCCCTTTCCCAAAAAATCAGTTAAGTAAAAGTCGGTATCGCCTTGTTCTCGTTAACCATTTTAGTAAGCGGACCGAAATTATTCCCTTAAAACGAGCCTCTGCGAAATTAGTTACTGATTCTATTTTAAATAAATATATTTTAAAATACGGGGCGCCCCTAAAAGTTATATCGGATAATAGTCCTCAATTTGTAAGTAATATATTTGAAGACATGTGTGCCAAAAACTGGGCATACGTCATTTAAAAATGGTCCCGTATCGGCCGCAATCAAATATAGCGGAACGGGTCAATAGAAATATAGTGAAAATTATCCGTAGTTATGTTAAAAATTTTCATAAAAGCTGGGATAACTATGTCAATGAATTAGCTTTCGCCCTTAGGACCGCAAAACATGATACAACGGGCAAAACTCCTGCTGAGTTATTTTTAGGCAGAAAGATTATAACGCCGTTAGATAAATTATTTTATGTTCAACAAAGAGCCCCAGAATTTAAAATGGGCGATATAGAAAAATTAATTAAAGAAGCAAAAAAGAACACTGAAGTAGCACAAAGAAAACAGAAGCTCTATTATGATATGAAACGACGGGGAGTAACTTATAAAGTAGGGGATGAAGTGTTAAAAATTAAGCATTCACTTTCTTCAGCACCAGAAGATAAAACTGCCAAATTTTATCCACGATTTGAAGGACCATATGTCATAGAAAAAGTAACTCAGGCTGTAGTGGTGTTAAAAGCCAGGAATGGTGAAACCTGCACCGCAAACATTGACCAGATAAAACCATTTTATAATCGTAATAAAATGCAAATATTTCAAGATCTTTTGCAGGATCCGGCACGGCAGGCACAAGCTCCAGAGGTGGAACAACGACAATCACAAGGGCAAGCCATTAGTAGACAGGAGCA